AAATAAACCCACTTGTGCTTTGGCAGAACACACTATCGATCTAGACCATAAGATAGATTTCAACAATGTTAAAATATTAGCCAGAGAGAAAAATAAATTTAAGAGAACATTCTTAGAAATGGTACATATCAGCAGGAGTGATAACAACAATCTGAATAAAAGATCTGAGATCCAGAATCTTAGCAAAATTTACAATTTTATTTTGACTTTTGACTAGGGTTTTCTGCATCTCAGAGTGCTTCATGTTTCGTAAATTCCATTATTAATTGCTATAATTATCATGATTAACTTCAGTTATTATTCAGATGTTCATTTTGTTTTGGTTGTTTGTTTTTTCTAAACCTACTTACTAAATACTATTTTTTTTTATTTTTTGACATAATAAAACCTTTTTTTAAATTTCCCTCTCAATTCTAAGTTGGTAACATGGTTGGTAGTACTTAAAATCACAAACGGCATTTTGTTAGACATCAGTTTGAAAGTTTGTTTTTTGTAGTTACATCGAACTATTTAAACAACAATAGTTCCACCTACTACCTCTTTCTGTTCGTGAGATGTGACTGAATTCAAACCTGCGAAGACGACTGTTTTTTGTCAAACATGTCGTCTTATTTTTTACTTTTTAAACTTTGTAACATGTTCTTTAATTTTTAAGTATTTTAAAGTTTTTAAAATTTTTAATGCCTTCAATAATTCAGATCACATTATGTTATTTAACGTTGTGTTTTATATGCTATGAATCTTACTTTCTGGTAAGTTTTTATAACTTTTATATTACATCAGCCTAATGTTATAACACAGTAATTTTCATTGTAGACCTTGATAAAGGTGGCAAATAACCACCGAAAGCTCGGATTTCAGAATAAATAGTACGCCTTAGCAAAGCTCTATTTTTTATTGACTACCACACCCAAAAAGAAAAAAGTATTTACATATTTATATATATATATATATATATATATATATATATATATAATATATATAGTATATGTATATATATATATATATATATATATGTATATATATATATATATATATATATATATATATATATATACTGTCATATTACTTTCTACTCAGCACGCTGATGATTCTGTATGTGAGAAGTTAGGCAAACCAGGCATAGCGGGAATCGATGTAGTCGACCAAATGTGCAGCAATTGCACTGTCCACAGACGAACTAGATGGTGGCCATTGGTCGTGTATTATCAGCTTATAAATATTGCAGGAATTAACTCCAATATTTTATTTAGCACCACTAATTGCGATAAGCCCTAAGTCACAGATATTTCTTTAAAAAAAGAAATAGCATCAAAAGTTACTTAGCTCCATATAAGAGTTCGGAGACTGAGACTCCAAAACTACTTAAAAAATAGAGAAAGGTGTACCCAGTGCGAAAGAAAAAAAATAAAAAATAAGGCAACCACAATAAAGTGCCAAAGATGCAATAATCCAGCATGTAAAGAGCATGTGATCACCACACACATTTGCTTAGAATGTCAGCATCATGAAAATCAAACAGAAAGTCCTTAAGATGAGTTTCCGTTTTGTATCTTTTTATGTTCATCTAAAATTTTTGTTTTATTTTGGTTCACTTTAATATATTTTTTGCATAAAATATGTGTTTATTTATTTCTATGTATATATTAACGAAATGTAGAATGTTAGCTTATACACTTTCTTATTTTTGTCTGGCGTACAAAGTACGCCAAGCACTGCTGTGTAAAAAATATTCTATCGACCACTTAAGGGTTAAAGTAATCGAAGACATATTTTTAAGACCAAAAATATTGTTTTTTTAGTTAAAACCTTTTCCTATATCTCGCCTTTTTCTTCAATTGTTTTTGCCCATGAATCCGAATAGTGGTCATGTATATATACAGTTTTGGTTATAATCATAAAAATAAAAAGTGTCTGTATTTTATATATTATCCTGCTAACATACTCCCTCCTGTTTTAAAAACGCAACAAAAAACAGTAATGTAGTAACACAAAAAAGCCTAACATTGATATTGTTTCGCCATCCCCTGAAAACGACAAAAGTTCAGAAAAACCATAAACATGGAATACATGAAGGTCATTCAGCGAGCAGTTGTTTCACAAGTCGTTGATTTTTTTTTTGTAAAAGCTGTTGTTTTCTCAATGAAACTCAATGAGGCGATGGGAGGAAAAGGTTTAAAATAAAGGCAGAAAACAAAAATAAAGAGAGGTACCAAAAAACAAGTTATTTACAATGTTATTATATTCCCGGTCGACGAGTTTTGTAATAAAATTGATTATTTGTTCTTATTAATACACGAAATTTTATGGATCTTATACTAAAATAAAGAAATATGTGTTAAATTAGTTTCTATTTATATATATTTTTTTAGATCAATGTAAAATTTTAGATTAAGAAGTATTTAGTTATGGGAATGTGTCAGGAAGTTAAATATCAATAACAGTTGTAACCAGTAGCGACTGCTGATTTTTTTCAGAGGACACTGATTCGAGAATACAAAGAAATAAATAGGCATTTAAAAAAAGCTTACTTCTTAAAATAGAACTAAATCATTGTATTTTTATTGAAAACCAACCTGTCTATCCTTCACAAGAAATAATAAATGCAATAATAATAATAATAAATGAAAACAATAAAACCGACACTTAAAAACTGTACTGGCACATCGCGCAACCACACACTTACCGCGACCACACACTACATGGAGTAGTAAACGCAGTACTATGCGTGCTTATTATTAAAATAAAATAAATCGCATAAACAAAATAAAATAAAATAAGATTTACTATTTTTGATGGGAATCAGCCACAATTTGTATTAAAAAAAATTATTTTTATATATTTTACCAAATAAAATAGAATTGAATCAAATTGAGTAAAATATCGAATCGAACCCATTATCGAATTGAATTGATTACAGAATTAAATGGATGATCTAATCCAATCGAATAGATTATCGAATCGAATCAAATGTCGAATCGAATCCAATCAAATATTGAATCGAATCGAATCAAATGTTGAATCGAATCTATTGACAAATCGATTATCGAAATGCATATATTATCGAATAAATTATCGAATTGATTATATTATCGAGTCGGAATCAAATCAAATAATTAAATATAGAATATAATCAAATTAAATATTAAATAAAATCAAATCAAATCAAATAGCGAATCGGATTTGGAATCTAATCGAATCGAATATCGAATCGAATCAATAATCGAATCGAATCGAATATCGAATAGAAGTGAATCGATTATCCGATCTAAAAAAATCTCTATAAACAGTGTTTTTAAATTTTATATGACGGAGTTGTATAAAAAGAAACTACGGGTCTTATTGGTTGATCATGTTTGTGTAGTTTATTAAAAGAGTATAATTTAGGGTCTGGGTTCATAATATTGAGGTATTTCTGTCCTATTGAAATTAATATATATATATATATATATATATATATATTATATATATATATATATATATATATATATATATATATAATCGGTTTAAAACGTCCTCCGACGTCTTCCGATGCCCAATCTCCATGCATCTCTATCTTCCCAAAGATCTTCGTCTAAACATCTCTCTCGGATCTCTCTGTCTATTCCTTCTCTCCAGCTCTTTCTGGGTCGGCCTCTTTTTCTCTTTTCATGTGGTGACCAATCTATAATCTGTTTGGGCAGACGATGTTCTGGCATTCTTTGCACATGTCCATACCACTTTAGTTGTTGTAATTAATATTGATTTTAAATGTTCTAACGTCGTGTTAATTTATTTTTATTACTTTTGCATCGGATTTTTGTGTATTCTTTAAATAGTTTGATTTTTTTAAATATTGTATTTTTTTGTTATTATATTCTATTTTATCTATAGCAATAGTAGTGATATATTTGTTTGCTTTTGTAAAGACTACTTTTGTCGTTTTCTATTAATCAAGAAAAAATGAATTTTTGAAAATTTTGGTGATTGCAGTGACCAAACAGTTGCCTATCTACCTCGCAGAAAAGTTATTATTTACGTGATTGTAAATAAGAGCTTTGTGATTACCTGAAGAACCGTCGTGTGAAAACCACATTCTTTGGCGAATATTAAGTGGAACAGTTTGCAGTAGTAATGGCAAGTGATTATTCAGAAAATACAGATATATAGCACCATTCGCACGGCCGTCAAAAAAATGTGGGTCAATCACATAGTCCCCTACCGTACCACCCCCAAACATTTTGTTTCCATATTTCTGAAATACGACCCTATTGCCAAAAACACATAATCGGAAAAAGACTGATCGATATGCACTTGCTGCGGAGACTACTCCCAAAAATCTTCCTTTTCTTCACTTATAAGTTTAAGTTCTCTCATTTTTTTGCATATGCAACTGACCCAGTGCGGACAAAAATTATTCTCAAACCTGAAACTACGGCGTAATTTGACGAGATATAAACAGTTTAACGAATGGAACAAAAATAGTCATGATACAGAAGAATTAAAATTATAGTTTCATTGTATAAAAAACTTTTAAATATTACTAACAGTTTTTTATACGTTTTATTTAATTTTATTTTTGTTTACGTGGTAAATAAGTTTATCACATGCATCCACACTGTTCTGGGCCATCGATCCCGAAATATGGTTCCTGCTAGTGGAAAACCAATTTGCACTAGCAAACATCACAAGTGACGCAACAAAATTTAATTATATAGTTGCTAATCTAGAATCAGCATACATATCAGAAGTGAGAGACATTATTGTATCACTACTAGCTACAGATAGGTATGTAAAGTTAAGCAAAATGAATTAAGAGACTCAGTGCATTACAACAACAAATAATTAAAAGATTACTCGAGCATAAAGTGTTGGACGATCAAAGACCTTCTCAATTCTTACGACATTTTCAGTCTTTAGTAGGCACAACTTTACCAGATGATATTATAAAATCTCTGTGGTTAGGGAGACTGCCATCTCTACACAGGCTATTTTAGCTACCCAATCAAACGCTGATTTAGACACAGTTGCCGAGCTAGCAGATACAGTTTTCGAAGCCGTAGCTTCTAGAACACAAATTTCGGAAACGGCCACTGCTCTTGAAAGCACCATCGGAAAATTAACAGCCGAATTAGCTGAAATGAAAATTCAGCTAGCAAACATCGCCACAGCTCAACCACAAACTAATACATACCGTCGTAACCGCAGCACCTCAAGAAGGAAGACCATTCCATAGAAACAGAAGCAAAAGTAGGGAACATAATAGTGACATATGTTGGTACCTGTTTTGGTGATAATACTCAAAAGTGCACACCTGCGTGCAAGTGTCAGGAAAACTACACGGGTAATCGGTAAGTGCGGCATCCGATCCAAGCCAAAAGTCTCGTCGTCTTTTCGTAACAGACTTTGAAACTAAAAAACAATTTTCAATTCACACCAGAGCAGATTTGTGCAAGTTTTCCAGAAAATAAGTACGGGGCGCGCGCGAAAAGACTACATATAAACTATACGTGGCCAATGATACTGTAATCGCAACATACGGTTTTGTTAACTTGACATTCAATATCGGATTAAGGCATGATTTTACGTGGCGTTTCTTAATGGCGGGCATTTTAAAGCCTATTATTTGAGCTGATTTCTTATCACATTTCGCTGTCCTAGTAGACATTGCTAACCAGTGCTTAATAGACAGTACTACAACTCTTCGAACGAAGGGACTTGTTAAAGATTATTTCCATAACAGCGTAAACACAATCGTGTAAGTGTCGCGTTACCATATGCTGTTAGCTTAGTTTCCGAAAATCAAGCGTCCCGCCGGTATTCTGAAAGACATTCAACATCAAACCAAGCACCATATCGAAACAACACCAGGTCTACCCATTTTTTCTAAGCCTCGACAATTAGCACCTGACAAATTGCAATGGGCTAAAAAATAATTCGAAAATCTTCTGCGACTAGGCATCCTAAGACCATCAAAAAGTAACTGGTCTACACTACTACATATGGTCCCGAAGAAAGGTGAGGAATGGAGACCCTGTGCAGATTATTTTAGATCAATATCCAATTTCACACGTCGAAGACTTTGGTCAGTCGCTAGCTGGTAAGATCATTTTCTCTACAATAGATTTAGTTAAAGCCTACAACCAGATACCAATAGTCTCCGAAGATATATCAAAAACTTTCGTTACCACATCATTTGGATTGTACGAATATTTATATATGCCGTTTCATTTAAGAACCGCAGGACTGACCGTCCAACGTTTCATAGATAATTTTACGTGGTCTTGATTTCGCCTACGCCTACATCGACGACATTCTCATTGCATCAGAGTTTGAAGAGCAGCATATATCGCATTTAGAAGAAATTTTCAAAAAACTTAAGCAATTTAGCTTTGTGATTAATCTAGCAAAGTGTGAGTTCGACAAAAACGAGACTACATTTTTGGGATAAACTGTATCAGCAGCAGGACTCCAACCTCCTCAAGAAAAAGTAGCAGCTGTACAAAATTTCACTCATCCTAAAACAGTAAAAGATCTGCGTAGATTTCTAGGTATGTTAAACTACTACTAAAGGTTCATACACAATGCAGCTGAGCTTTAAGCATCAGTATATGATGCCCTAAAAGCAAATGTCGCAGGAAATGCATCAATTGAATGCACACCACAGCGGATCCAAGCCTTTGATGACTACAAAGGTAGTTTAGCTAACGCTACTTTGCTGAGCATCCTGTAAACGATGTAGATATCTCCATCACTTGTGATGCTTCGATTTCTATGCTGGAGCTGTATTACAACAAAAAACGAATACAAATATGAAACCTTTAGCTTTCTTTTCCAAAAATATCTCACCTAGTGAAAACAAATATAGTGCGTACGACAGAGAAGTATTGGCTATATATTTGGCTATAAAACATTTTAGACATGTCGTAGATCGTAGGTAAAGACATAACCCTATACTTTGATCACAAACCAATCACCTTCGCCTTTACACAGAAGCTAGACAAATGCAGTCCTATACAATTTCGATATTTAGATTTTATTGGAGAGTTTTGCACCAACATTCAACACATCTTTGGATTAACAAAATTGTAGCATACACACTATCCCAAGACGATAGCATCAAGAAATATATCGGGATCATCGACTTAGCTCTCACACAAGAAACAGATCCAGAACTAAAAACGTATTTAAGAAGGAAAACATCTTGCAATTAAAGAAAAGACGGTTTCCGGAACAAAACGTTAGTTTCTACTATGACGTAGGAACATCTACAGCCAGACCATTTGTACCGAAACCGCTCCGAATGGCAATTTTTACCACCATGCATAATCTAGCACATCCTGGAATCAATAGTTTTGTAAAGATGATCACACAGCGATATGTTTGGCCTATAATCAAATCAGATGTGAGAAAAAGGACTCGAGCGTGTCTACCACCTTCCAGCCGATTCGAACATGTTCAAATCGATATTATAGTCATGCTAAATTTTGAAGGAAACAGCTACTGTTTAACATGTGTCGACCGTTTTACGCGTTGGCCGGAAGCTTTCCCGTTGCCCAATTAAGAAGCAGATACAGTAGCCAGAACATTTTTTTCTGGTTGGATAGCTCGTTTTGGTACTCCTAAGCGTATCAAGGTCGATAATTTGAATCACATATCTTTAAATCAATCTGCAAATTAACTGGAACTATCCAATTAAGAACAACCGCATATCAAACTCAAGCAAATGGCATGGTGGAAAGATTTCATTGACAATTAAAAGCAGCAATTTGATGCCATGAAAATATTCGATGGACCGAAGGCCTACTTTCAGTGCTACTGGGCATACTAGGAGCACGGAGAAAAGATTTAGGTAGTTCAGTCACCGAGCTCGTTAATGGACAACTATTGTGTTTGTCCGGTGAATTATTGAAACACCGATGACAGTGCTCACATTTATTTAAAGACACTTCAAAACTATTTCGAAAATCTCCATCCTAAGCAACCGTCAAAATCACCACTCACGTGTTTATCCGCCGTGACACAATCAATAACGGTTTAGATAACCCATATCACGTACCTTTTCCAGTGTAAACGGAAAAGAAGTAACAATTCCCATCGATAAATTGAAACCTGCGAATGAGTTTAACGTAAATCAAGAATGAGAGAAAATAACGGTGTCTAGAGAAACAAACACCTACAACAATTTTGAGAAGTTATCAAGCGAGTGTCAGTTAAATTATTTTTTTGAGTTAAAATATTTTTTTTTTCAGTGTAACATTTTTTTCTCGTGTAAACATTGCCTTTTTCTGATATATCTATTCAATTTTCATTGTAACTATGTATGTATTATCCATATTTCTCATAGAAGGTATTGACAAAGGAGGGTAGCGACAAGCTAATTACGAATAATTAAACTTTTGTATTCAAAAGTTAAATAAAACGATCTCATATTTGACTTTTTTTACAACTGTATTGATTCCATAGGGATATCGACAAATGAAATTAGTGGACTAATATATTTTTGTTGCCCTACTCGTTTTAAATATCAGAATCACATAAATTTCATTTCGCAGTCAAATTTATTTTCATTGTGTCTTTCTTTGTAAACACCGTTCATTTTTCTGTGCGAAAAACCGGTCGGAATCTGAAAATCGTTTCGGTATATATCAATATTAGATTGGAGTAGCTGAAAATTGAGTGGAAAATAGTTTTCAGGACTGCAAATGACATGGAAATACAATAAATTACTATTTCTATGAGATTTTTCGCCGATCTGGATTCTTTTCTCGTCCGATATGTGCCTAGCATGGATATATTGTGGTACTTTTATCTCAAAAACGGTATCCAGTATGCCATATAAAAGGTGTGATATATTATAACCATTCATGCATTTTTTTTATTTTTACGGCTAATGCTTTATTACAGGATTAAAAAATATTATTTGAACATAAAATAAATAGTTTCTAGTTCCTTCAGAATTTATATGTTAGACTAGAGAATGAGAACTAGGACACTTTTAGCAGTAGGGATGAATGAATAGATTAACTAACACAAAATTCGTTATCCACAAGAAGTAATTGTTGGAAGAAAGTGATCTCCTATAGGACACAGCCAGAGCCAAAAATATGAGAGCAGTGGGTTTCCATTGATGTGATTACTAAAGGGTGTTGCAATAGTTAGAAAATGCTTATTTTTACGTATTAAAACACCGAATTCTTTCAATTTCTTCTAGCGTCGCCAAGTAAGGGTAAAGATAGAGAAAGCAAAATAAACGCTACTTGTGCGAACGGCACTCAGAGTTTGTTAGGAGAGCTGGGGTCGTGGATAAGTAAAATCAAAGGGGTTGGATTGGGCATGATACTATGACTAAGAAGATAAGATATTGCGCATAAGTCGTGACGTCATTGGAGAGCTGCACGTTCTAAATGTCAGTTTTTTGTATGTATTAATAAATAATCTTTAATAAATAGTTTGGAGATATCTTTATGTGTACGATTATAATAATTATTAAATCTCTTAACTTATTTTCGTCTAGTAATTTCATCACAGAATGCATAAAAATCCCATTTAACTTTAACAAGAATTCAAATTCTACTCTCCAATGACGGCATACGCGAACAAGTCCCATTTTGTGCTACGGGAAGATCCTATCTTGTTAGTCATAGTATCATGGGATTGGGGCAACAAAAAATGGAACAAAGGGTCATGAATCCTTGAAACAAATAAAGCAAAATGAAACAGGATACACCTCTAGTAATTTAATATAGGGCGCCACTTAAGGTGCCTAATTATACCTATTACAACCACTAGTTGTAACTAGGGAAAAATTATAAACCATTAAAAACATATCTTTTTTAAATAAAACTCAAAAAAGGGGTTAGTTAAAAAAATAAACAAAACGTTAAGAAAACAAAATTTGACATTTAGTGTGTCTTACCATAAACATTTATAAAAATAATGGCACAAATTTACAGATAGATTAATAGTTACAGAGAACAAGAATTACAAAAAACTTACATGTGTCCTAGCCGTTTACAAACTGTGTTGCTATAAAACTTACAAAATTGCATGGAGGTTAACCTTCTTTTACAATAAAAGTCAAAGCAATAAAACAATAAACAAAGACGAGCTATCATAAGTTAACAATAAATTAAGAAAAAAACTGAACACACAAATTGACAGCTAAAGTCAAACCATAAAATTTTATAATTTATTAATTATTATAAATCCTTTAAATTTTAATGAAAACAATAT